ATTTTATCTTATCGATTACAACTTCCCTGCATTAACACTTCTCCTAACTTTCTGAAAGTCATTGGGAAGTGTATACACAAATGTGTAGATTTTTTGTTTTTAAATTATATACTAGTGTCCATGCCAATATTTAAGGGGAAGTGTTTTTTCTTCATGTTTGGCAGTCTCTACCTAGACAACCTACTTAGAAAATGAACTGCTCTCAGGTGGAAAAAAGTGTCATGTGAAATTCCTAAAAAGGCCAGGAAAAAATGTGCACACAAAATTTTATAACTTTGAAAAAAAAAAGCAGTTAATTTATCATACCATTTAAATATTAGGTGTAAAGGTGCCAGAAAGATAACAATAGTTTTACTCATTCACATGATTTAATTATCAAACATCACCACAATGAATTCTGACAGTATTCCATACTTGGTATTTGGTTGATAATTATAGTATTTGGAAACTAAAAATGGTGCAATTATTATAATCAGATTATAATTTTAGACTACTTCTCATACGGATTGAAACCAAACCGACATGAAGGATTTTTATTTATTATTTTTCTAAGTTGTCAGTATTCCATTTGCATTCTCTTTGCACACAAACTGAGCCTACAATAACTGCTGTCATAATTCATTTCTTTTAGGGATAAAAATTAGCACAGCAACTTCAAATCTAGACTTCAGCAAAACAACATAAACATCAATTGTGAGCGAGTGAAAGAGTTAAAAGTCAATGACGAATTATGCAGTGAAGGATATAAAAGCATTAAAATGTCTATATTGCAGATTAGTTTCCTTATTCAGAACACTGAATTTGCATCATAGGATTAAATTTTTTCCTAATTATTTTGAGCTGAGGAAAGTTTAAAGATCAAACAGCATTCTGAAATGGAGATTTTCCTGCAATAAATTAATAGTATCGGGTAATACTGATCAATAGCTAAAATGAAAACAGTGCATTCAAGACTCAGGGTACGTCTACACTACCCGCTGAATCGGTGGGTAGCGATCGATCTATCGTAGATCGATTTATCGCATGTAGTGTAGACCCAATAAGTCGATCCCCGATCGCTCTCCCATCGACTGCTGAACTCCAGCAGTGCGAGAGGCGGAAGCAAAGTTGACAGGGGAGCCGCGGACGTCGATCCCTCGCCATGAGGACGCGAAGTAAGTAATTTTAATTCGATCTAAGATACGTTGACTTCATCTACGCTATTCTCGTAACTGAAGTTGCGTTTCGTAGATCAGTCCCACCCAGTGTAGACCAGGACTCAGAGGCAGGATGATCCAATGGCTAGGGAATTAGCCTCCAACTTAGAAGTCCTGGGTTCAATTCCCTGCTGCACCACAAATTTCCTGTGCTCCCATGGTGTGGTTGACTGTTGACCCATGACCTTATCCTGGAGGAAATATGATTTGGGGTAAAATATAATCTATTTTCTAAGCATGCATATAGAAATAATATTGGAAGTTACTGAAGCTGTAACTGCAAGTAGAAAAACAAAATATATTACTAAAAATATGCTTGGCTATAAGTTTTAAGCATGAAGTGTTAAGGGCTTAGTGAGACCCAGAAGAAATTGGCAGTTGACATAAGTTAGCATGTGTATTATGTTCCTGACCTAAAGTTATAAAATTTACCAATATAGATCTTGTGATAGTTTAGCAATGCATTGTCTGATAAACAGGTAAACCACAAACATATGATCATAAGATATTTTTGCAATAAAGTAATCACACATTGAAACTATTGGGACATTAATTAACGCAAAACAGATGTTAGTCAAAAGTTTAACTACTGTTAGCCAGAATACCACACATGGGCAGGGGCTGAAACCTTATAAAAATATGTGGACATGTGCGAGTGGAATAGGAAAAGGTGTATAAAATACGTTGTTGGAACAGGAGGGGGGGGAAGGAGAATAGGATATGGGACAACTGAGTATGAAGTCTGGCCACGCTTGGGTGCTTTTTTCTTCCATCTTGGTTTCAAAAGAGCTCCATAACATTTTAAGAACAATGCAAGAAGCCACTTTACTGTACTTGTCTTATTTTTATACTGATGTATATTTATTTTTCTTAGAATTTTAATTATCTATGTCTGTATTAACTGAAGCTCAAAGTTTGTGTGTACGTCAATTTTATCTTAATTTTAAGTAGCCATGTGGAAAAAAACCTGTTTTGTGACTAGTGCCTGTTGTATCCCAATAAATAATTTTATAATTGTGATAACTGATAAGGCTAGATTGGGCAAGTCACTTAGACAATTGAGGCACACACAGGCTTTTTGTAAAACAGCGATATAATACTTCCCTACCTCAGAGTTTGTTGTGAAGATAACTGGATTAAAGACTGTAAAGTGCTCAGATATTATGGTGATGGGGGCATGAGATATTATGGTGATGGGGGGGCGGGAGGGGAGAGTCTCCTTGTGTATCTAAGCAATAAAATATTTAAGTTAACCAATATAAAATTATTCAAGTTGCTTATGGAGCACCATTTAAATAGAATGTTTTCAGGTTTGTTTTTAATTATTTTTTTTTAAATAGTATACTTGTTTTTCAGCTTCTCTAGTGTTTATAAACGTATTTTTTCTCCAAAGGAAAATATAACAATGCACAGAGAAACAGTGAGGCTGTCTATACAAAGTATTAAATGCACAAAGTAAACAAACTGAAAAATTATTTATGTTGACTACTTTCATAGTAATGTAACTTTTGTAAGTACAAAGTTTTCAGAAACAAGATTTTTCAAATTGGCATCCCTTGAAAAAGGATCAGCTTTTTTTTTTAAATTAATCTTGTCAAACCTTTAACTTGTCAAATTTCTGGAGTTATCTACGAAAATAATAGAACATTTAATAAGGATCGATCTTTGATACTTCTTTTAATATCATTAACCAAAGAAAAATCACTCCTTTATGCCATCCAAGCATAATGCAGGAGAGAGGTCTCCTTGAAACAAAATCTTTTGTGTGTGTACACAATAACATAAAAGTTTAAAAAAAAAAAAACACAAAAAACAACCAATCACCAAAATGCACATCATACAATTAAACTGGTTTTCTGCAAGAGCCAGAAACTGACATGGTGATTAAGTTCTGAAGAGTCCGTAATCTAGACTACATACCTACTGACAACTAAAGCTGTGAAGACTTTTGGTTTCTTCCATACCCCACCCCGGCCCTAAAATGAAAGGTCCAATAGTTGTCTTTTTCTTTTAATAAAGTGTGGGAATGAAGATTCCCACCCCCCACATGTACGTGACTCTGAAGAGTTACTATAGACATATTTGAAAGTTTTTTGTACTAGGAACATTAGATAAATTATAATCTGCAAATGCAAGCTAAGCATTCTAAAAAGTTAGAGAAGGTGCGGTGACAATACACCTCTACCCCAATATAACGTGACCCGATATAACACGAATTCAGATATAACGCGGTAAAGCAGTGCTGCGTGGGGGGGGGGGGGGCGGTGCTGGGCACTCCAGCGGATCAAAGCAAGTTCAATAGAACGCAGTAAAAATTTTTGGCTCCTCAGGACAGTGTTATATTGGGGTAGAGGTGTATTAAAGGATTAATATTGAAAACAGAAGATTGTATGCAACTGAACTGATAGATTTGCTTGGTTTGCTGCTGACCAATAGGGCAAACAAGTGAACAGTTTATGAATGTATCTGACATGCCCAAAGTTGAACGAAGTGACATGAACAACTGAACTGAGTAAACTAATGGAAACTTAATTCCGCTAATGTAAAGCCTAAACACTGTAAAGAGCTGTTCAGTGGCAAGATAGACTATATGTGGGGTCATCTCAGAGTGCAATAATCTTCAAGTTCAAATGTCCTACTGAATGAATCCATATGTCCACTGAACTTCAAGAGCAGAACATTGATGAGTTTTGGTGATTCTGCAAGAGATATTTTGCAATTCCACCATCACTAAAACTTCCTTCCTTGATCATTTCAGATCCTGTTCCAGGCCTTCCAGGAGTTCATCATAAACTTCATTGAAGACTAGTCTTTTCATCTTTGCAACCCAAAAAATGGCAACCATCTATCTGTGATCATGTCAAAAACAACTGAAAAGCAAATTCATTAACTTGGTAAGAAAGGTAAATATCACTATCAATACAACACAATTGAATAATTTAAATAATTGACTGAAGAACTTGGTCTTTGATATTCTCCTCCAGAGAGAGAGAGAGAGAGAGAGAAAGAAAGAAAGAAACCTCACAGGTCCACTGCTAAACGCTTCAAGTAAAGAAAGAAGAAAATTTAGAAGAACTACAAGATCAGACATCAATGCAAGATGGCTGGTCAAACATGAGGAAAGACCAGCAAGTGGTGGTCAAAACATAGCAAACACGCATGAAGAGACTATTCAGAAAGGCAGCAAATTTACAAAGGAAGGAGGTGGTTTCAGAGAAACTTGACAGATTAGAGACTGATGATACTGTTACAGTGGAAATCTGGCTAATATACTTAAATAAACTAAACAAGAAGATGATGCAGTCTCACCTCTCTAGACTGTTTTGTCCAGGGTTTTAAGTCCCTGAAGATCTGGCAAGGTCTCCAATGTGACCCTCAAAAAGGCACTTTAGCCATCTGGAATTAGGCTAACTCACAGGCATAGATCTTTTGCAGCAGGCACAGAGCTTAAAGCCCAGAGACTGAGGAACACCCTGATAACAGGTGTTGACCCCTTGTAACAAAAACTCCAACACCCAAAGTTGCTATAGAAGATGAAGAAAACCTATACTTAACTTACACTAACAAGTACTACTAATTAACTATTTACAGAACAGAGAAACTCCCTGGAGTGGGAGAAAACTTGCAATAGCAAGCCAACACACTCCAACTACCTATTGCAGGTGGTAAGAAGGAACCGAAGTGGGTGAGGGATGTACCTGCCCCTTATGCTATCAGGCAGCAGCACAGAAATGCTAGGGGTGCATGCATTACCCAGACAGGTACTGCTAGGGAAAAACATCTGGCTCTGGTGCTCTGGGCATGCACATTCCAAAAGAGAAATGGACGTGTGCAATCATTCAAAGAACATCTTATTGCATTTTTGTTGCCAGTCCACAAGATTGTCCAACTAGCAAGAGAGGTAGCAGAAAGGAACGAATCTCAAAACATCAGTGGTAGCAAGCTATGAACACATGTAATTTGGCAGAAAAAACATTGTATAAGCCTACATCACAACATCCATGGAAGACGTTAAGAGCTTACTGCTTCTCTGCTACAGAAATGCCAATAGTTCAGAAATGGGGGAAATAGAATTTGAATAGATTACAAAAAACAGATTATGTTAACCTTGATTTAAAGTTAATTGTATTAAAGTCACTTAAAAAAATCATTGATTTAAGTCAATTTTTTACAAAAATTCACCTAATTTGAAATTGTGCTATTTTCTATTACAATTTAGAATGAACTACATTATAAATGCTATTGGACAATGACTTCTTACTCTACCAGTAGTGACAGTGAATCTATATATTTTACAGAACTACTGTAGGCAAAAGAACAAAATACTAAAGTTATTAAAACTATTTCATTTATAACTAATAAATCTCAAGTGGCATCAAACCTCGATCAATACAAGCCAAGTCTACTACAAGGTTCACACTGAAAAATTGTTTAGAGTTTGGAACTAAGTTGAAAGTTGTGAAAAAAAATTATTTCACATTTACACAAGCTCTGTTATTGAAATAACCACATTAAATTAAAAATGCAACGTTTAAGAGAACTAAAATCCATGATCAAGAATAGCTAGACAGTAACAATGCATTTCCATTATTCAGACTTAAGGTGCTTTCAAAATTAAAATTCTTGAAAAGGAAACTGAAACCTTATCTGTTTTATGCAGTTTCTAGCATGTAGTACAACAGCTACATGATGAAAATAGTCATTACAACTCCAACAGAAGACATAGCAGTTACAATCTGAGATACTACTTTTATGATCAAATCTGTTTTCTCAAGTTTGAGATTCTCCCTATTGAAGTGGTGTTGCATTTCTCTGTACTGAAGAATGTAGCTTTCTGAAATGAAAAAGTTGATTTACAGTGGAGTTTTTCTTGGCAGAAAACTACTTCTAGCCTAAGCATATTCTGCATATTCATAAGCAAATTTTGAATTCTAGGTTTAAAAGTAAAAATGGGCACACAAGGTTTAATTATATGTAGTAGAAAACAACAGTATTAAAAGTAGGCCACAACACTTTCGGAACACATTCGGTCATTACATAATTGTGGCTCAGAAAAAAAAATTCAAGCTTCTTTCACACCTCAACAGCTTCAGCAACTGAACATGAAACACTATGTATAGAAGTAGCATTGCTCCTGGTTTCAATACCTGGAGCAATTCAGCACACCTCTCTAAACAAATTTGTTAACTTTTGGCAGTCAGTATCCTGTCATTACAGATTTTCCATTAATTTGGGCCACTTTGAAAAGTAAGTTCCTAGGTGGGGTTTGCAAAAAAGTATTAAGGCACAACACATACATGGCCTTTTGGGGGTTTTTTTTTTGCTTGTGTCTGGCAGCTCCAAAGTGATTATTGCTAAAGAATTTAATCATACATAGATAAAATGAGCTCTGATACTCTTTCCTTCCAAATCTTCTGACAGTAAGTTTAGGGTGTTAGAAAAACAACTATGTGAAACTACACTAATACACAGGGGCATAAGTTTGGGGAGGTGCAGGGGGAGGAGGGGCAGGCGCATTGCCCCCCCAGAGGCGAGATGTGGAAAGACATGGGGTCACGTATCATTCCTCCACTCCCACCCCCGATTTCTGTTCGGCCTGCGGGGGGCGTAGGAGGTCTGTCCTTCCCACACTGTGCCTCCCCCCGACCCTCCCCCACTTCCCCCAAAGCAGGCCAAACAGACCAAGCCCTCTAGGTGGGCAGGGAGCAGGATGGAGCAGCTGTTCCAGGTCACTCCCTCAGCGCTGGACACCACCTCCTGGATCCTAGTGCCCGCCTGTTTCTTGTACAACAGTGAGTGCCCATGGGGGACAGAGCAAGGGGGAGAGGGGGAAGCAACAGCTGGGAAGAGGGTATAGAGCAGGGGGAAGAGAAGGGGATGGGGGAGTGAGGCAAGGGGGATGGAATGGGGAAGAACGAGATACGGGAATGGGGCGGGGGAAAGCAGGAGCCCATGGTTGTGTTGCAAGGTATTTACGTGTCAGATATGTTGAATATTCATATAACCCCTTCATGCTTGGGCCACCATTCCTGAGGACATGGTTCCACACTGATGACGCACGTTAAAAAAGTAATATATTAATTAAATTTGTGACTGAACTCCTTGGGGGAGAACTATACGTCTCCTGCTCTGTTTTATCCGCAGTCTGCCATATATTTCATGTTATAGCAGTCTCAGGTGATGATCCAGCACGTTTGTTTTAAGAACATTTTCACTGCAGATTTGACAAAACGCAAAGAAGGTACCAATGTGAGATTTCTAAAGACAGCTATAGCACTCAACCCAAAGTTTAAGACTCTGAAGTGCTTTCCAAAATCTGAGAGGGACGAGGCATGGAGCATGCTTTCAGAAGTCTTAAAAGACCAACGCTGTGATGCAGAAACTATAGAACCCGAACCACCAAATAAAAAGAAAAATCAACTTTCTGGTGCCATCTGACTGAGATGATGAAAATGAACATGCGTCGGTCCACACTGCTTTGCATCATTATTGAGCAGAACCAGTCATCAGCATGGACACATGTCCTCTGGAATGATGGTTGAAGCATGAAGGGACATATGAATCTTTAGTGATTTTTGGCGTCACAAGATATTGGTGCCAGCTACAACAGCGCCGTGCGAACACCTGTTCTCACTTTCAGCTGACATTAAACAAGAAGCGGGTAGCATTATCTCCTGGAAATGTAAACAAACTTGTTTGAGCGATTGGCTGAACAAGAAGTAGGACTGAATGGACTTGCAGGCTCTAAAGTTTTACACTGTTTTATTTTTGAATGCAGTTACTTTTTGTACATAATTCTACATTTGCAAGTTCAACTTTCATGATAAAGAGATTGCACTACAGTACTTGTGTTAAGTGAATTGAAAAATACTATTTACTAATATTTTCACTGTAAAAAATAATCAAAAATAAATATAAAGTGAGCACTGAACATTTTGTATTCTGCACTGTAATTGAAATCAATATATTTGAAAATGTAGAAAACTTCCAAAAATATTTAAATGCTATTCTATTATTAACAACGCGATTAATTGCAATTAATTTTTGTAATCGCTTCACAGCCTTAATTGTTTTGTATCCCTTATACCTAGCTTCTATTTCTGGGGTAGTTATGCAAATGTTAAGTCTATTCCACTTGTTTAATTTTTAATCCTATTTTTCTTTTCAGATCGAGTTTTGATTTGTTCCCCCCTCCCTTCTTACGCTCTTTCCACAACTCTCACCTATGTAAATACTGTTTAATTCTTTACTGTATTCAGTGAGGGGTTTTTCCCCTCCTTCACTGGTTTAACCATTGCCTTTTGATTCCAAACACACACCCCAAGAAATCTTTTAATTGAACCGTATGAATTAGATGTACATTTCTTAAGACTGCTCTGTATATTCCTTGCCACTGACTGAAGCCTTCTTTCCTGGTGTGGAGGGGAGGGGGAAGAGATCAGGTTCTATTACAATCTACCCAGGGGAATTTGCTGGTGGGGCTCTTGCTCCAAGTAGCATTTGGTGTGGGTAAAGGAAAGGCTACGGGCCTTCTGTTCCAGTGTCTAGATTTTGTGGGACCAGTTGTTGGTCTACTCAACACTACCCCTTGCTGTTCTCCAGAGGCTATTTGCTCTACAAATTTACTCTTCCTATGAAAACAGGTTTTAGAAAAGAAAGCTCCAAAGTTACCTAGACAAACTGTATTTGCAAAAAATAAAGGGAGGAGCTACAATACTTTAATAGCCAACCCCCACATACACTCTAGGCCTTTGAGCCCTCAAGATCCACAAATTCTGCTTTATACAACTTGGTAATCGGGTATCAATGTGTTTTATATAGCTTTCTTTACATGAGAACTAGTGGTACTCTTGAGCAAAACTCCTGAATTTTAAATTGAGCATCTCTGAGAATATACACAATAAAGCAGTGTAAGTGATAATACATTTTAATTTATTCCATTAAACTGACAGTCTGGTAAAGTAGTGGGAACATTTTTTTTAGGACTAGCAGCCTTATAGCCCTTTACAAGTGTTTAAAAAAACCTAATACACAATATCAGTTCAAAATGCCAAAGACCACCATAAAGTTTTTGGGGTTTATTTAAAAAAAAAAAAAGAAGGACAGAGACTGCCAATACAGGATATGTCATCAGACAAGTTAGGTAACTTCTTTTTCTAATACAGCAAATGCAGAAATAAGAATCAACCACCTCATGTGCACACTGAAGATTCACCTTCCACCTTGCAGTAGCCTCTTATGTATTGTTTGTTTCTGTTTTCAGAACCATAGACCTACCTTCTAGAACACAGCATATGGAAGTCATACAAAAGTATAACTTTCAGTAAAAATATGGTTTATATTTGATGCTTTTGCTCACCTTCCACTGCCTCTCTGCAAAATTCATTTCTTCTACTGACTTTGTTCCTTTGCGAGTCCAATTCAAGAATAGTACTTAGGATGATTAAACTGTCAGTCCAATGATTAATGGACAGTTTTTTAGCACTTTGTCAGCTCTCAACATCAGAATTCAATCATTTTCTTTGTGAGCAGGGCCTGCAGGCCTATGTAGAACTGACTTTAAAACTCAAACCAAACCAAACACACCCACAGGCTGTTCACTTCCTAAAAGCCTTCAATCGACATTTTTAAGTGCACTCTATTTTATTGGCAGAAAACAATAATTCATACAGTTCTTAATCTAGCATTTTTATTAACCTGAAAACTACAGTTTAGTTGATGAAGTGACAGCCTTTTAATTAATAGAAAGTCTAAATCCTTCACTGGTCTTTTCTAGAAAGTTTTCCACCACTAACACCAACTCATCAAATCCATCGGCAATAGCAATAGTTGAAATGATGGGGCAGGCAAGGACTAGGAGACACTGGCATTTTACTATTATTGCACAGGCCTGTTCTCAACAGGTTTGGGCAACAGAATGGATAAAATGTCGGTAACCACCTAAATCGGTCTACTTTCACACTCCTACTGCTGACATCAGTAGTGGAGCAGAACCAGCGTTGGTAATTTTCCAAGAAAAATGCTAACACACATGCAACTAAAAATAAAGGTGTCAGACAAGAAGTTTTGGTCACTTACTGCAACTGAGAATCTGAGATGTATGGTCCCTATCTGTATTCCATATATGGGTACACGTGTGCCATGCACCCAATCTGGAACTTCTTCTGAGCAGTGTCCATCAGCCTGCAGATGTGCAGTAGCTCTCCTCGTGCTCCCAACAGAAGATACAAGAGGCAGTGGAAGTCAACACCACTCCAGTTCCTCTTCCTACCACAATACAACAGGATCCAAAGTGGGGGGAAGGTAGTGGATGGGGATTCACACATCTCAAAGAACCTCCAGTTACAGTAAGTAATCTCTACTTCAAGTGATGGTCCCTATATGTATTCCACACGTGGGTGATTGGCAAGCAATGTTCAGACTGGAGGCAGGCAAGAGGATGCTGGTAACAAATATGCTTGCAATGTTGCCAATCCCACTGCTGCATCCATAGCTGAAGTATGAACTAGGGCACAGTGTATCATGAACATGTGAATTCAACTCCAGGTGGCCACTCTGCAGATGCCCTGCAGCAGAATGTTTGACAGGGATGCCATGGAGGCCGTTTGTGCTCACATGAAGTGAACTGTGACTCCGAGGTGGAGGAATGTTTACTAACTTGTAGCACTCAAAGATGAATCCTGAGACCCACTTAGAAATCCTCTGGGAGAATACGGCTTGCCCATGCAACCTCTCCCCTATGGCAATAAAGAGTGAGTTCCCACTGGGTTTGGTTCTCTGCATGGAGAGCACCAGGCCACCCTGGACGTTGATGGAGTCAAGTCTCTTGTCTTCAGCGGACGGACTGGGTTTCAGAAAGAATATGGGTAAATATTGTTTGATGTAGACCTCAATCTTAGGGAGAAACTTGGGATTTAGTTGAAACTTTTTTTTTTTTGGATGAAAAAACTAAGGAGGATTCATCATGATAGCCCTGAGCTTGCTGACCCTCCTAGCTGAGGTGATAGGTACAAAGAACACCACCTTCATTAACAGGTGGGTCATGGTACAAATTGCCATGGGTTTGAAAAGCAGACTAATGAGCTTGGACATGACAAGGTTAAGGTCCCGTTGAGTAGCCAGGTGAGTAATGACAGAGTATCCTTCCACCACATGGAGAAAGGCTCTAATTATGCCTTCTTTAGGGATAAGAGATTTTCAGTTGTTCAAGACTTACCCTATCTGGAGAATGTTGATGCAGTTGTGCCCAGGCCAAAAAACATTCTAACTGGCTTGGTTAGCAGGTTTAAGTACACTCTTTCCTACTCCAATTAAGGCTCATCTGAACAGGAGCAAAGTATGAATGTTCTATTTCCGATGCCCATCCAAAGACCAGGCTTTGAGGTGGAGTGAGCCCGCACTAGGGTGCTTGGTCTTCTCCCCCC